AAAAAAAAAAAAAAAAAAAAAAAAAAAGAGAGAAAGAGAGAGAGAGACCTCAAACACACTGTGGAGGTAGAATCAAGATGATCTGGAGACAAAATGGACACAGAGGATGAGAAGGAGAGTTTAGAATGGCTTGAGGTCCCTGCTCTTAACACCAAACTGGAGAAATGAAATGGAAAGTGTTAGAAAACCAATTTTATTTGATAACTTGAGGAAAGAAAACATTTTTATAATGACACACAGAAATAAAAAGGAATAGAATATTAAATTAACATGAACTTTTAACATAAAAATTTCATGCCCACACCCTACTATCTTATAGGTGATAGCATTCTGCTGCTACAGAAAACTTTTGACCAGAGAGAAATTTGAAAAACACGGCTGCAAACTGGTGACTCAGAGAATAGGAATGTCACTTACAGAAAAAGGAAAGTCTAGTCACCATATGAATGACTAGCAACTCTTTATCCAAGGTGGTTTTAAATTTACCTGCCAGAGATGATCTGTGGGGCAGAAGTCCTTAAATCTTCTGATTCCCTGGCTTCCCTCCCTCCTACCTCCACCAGTTTATGCAAATCACTCATTTATTTAACAAATGTTTATCATGAAGTGAGGATTCAGCAGTGAACAAAACAAAAGCCCTTATGAAACATAACATGTAATTTATAAAATACCTATTACCCCAGACTGACATTCCCCTTTCAAAATAAGCATACATATAAGCTAAGAACTGTAACTACCTTAAGCAGCAACAAAGGCAGAATAAAAATCAGACGTTCCATTCTAAGACATTTAACACTAGAGGACTCCATTCTTCCAACATATTAGACTAAAATAATGCAAAAGCAAGCTATGGTTAAAACATATTAAGAAACCATAACTACTAAGCCACATCAAAGCAATGTCTCCAAAAAGCAAAATGCAAAATTGTATATATCTCTGGCAACATGTAAAGTTAAACCATACAAAAATATAATCTGTTCAAGTGGCAGATTATTTTTTTCCCTTTTTCAAAATTTACCTTAATATTGCTATTGCATGAACTTGTACTTTTTGTTATTTTATAAGTGTGTGTACAATATATATTTCAAAAATATATTTCACGGGATCATAAAATTAACACATGCTTAAAAAAAAAAAAGAAAGAACAGAAATTAAGATGGAAAGTATCCACAGCCCTATATCCTGGCAACATTTCGGTACATATACTTAATAAGGAAGGGTGGAGGGGAAGGGAGTGAGAGAAGGTCATTTTACAACCTGCTCTTCTCACTTAACAGGGGGGGGGGGGCGGGGTGTTGCATTATTTGCTACCATATAGGTGAACTATAATTTCTTTCACTATGGCTGTATTAATGTACATTTAATATACTTTACTTAAAACATATTCCTAGGGGCTTCCCTGGTGGCTCAGTGGTTAAGAATCCACCTGCCAATGCAGGGGACATGGGTTCGAGCCCTGGTCCAGGAAGATCCCACATGCCACAGAGAAACTAAGCTTGTGCGCCACAACTACTGAAGCCTGCGTGCCTAGAGTCCATGCTCCGCAACAAGAGAAGGCACCTCAGTGAGAAGCCCGTGCACTGCAACGGAGACCCAACGCAGCTAAAAATAAATAAATTAAATAAATTAAAAAAAAAAAACATTCCTAGAAGTAAAAATGATACTAAGGATTTATATGTATATATGGTTAGTGTTGCCAATTTAAAAAATATATACCCGTTTTACAATAAAAGAAAAATTATAATCTGTGAATATTTTTCCTGAGAACATATCAATACTCCAACGATAAATAAAATAATGATAAAATTTCTTCAAAGAATTATATTTGGGCCAAAAAAACTCTTCCAATTTAAAAACTTACATAAGCAAATACAAAAACTGATTTGAAAGAGAAAGGGTTTATCTTAATATAGTATCTTCCACCCTCTCTGGTCTACCTATCTATTGTTATAGTTTGATATTTCAAGTAAACAAGACAAAATAAAAATCCAAGTAGGAAAGCTCTGCCTTCCGAACACATTATACCCACAAACAAAGCATTTCTTTAAAAATTCCAGCTTGACATCATAATCCTTTATGAGCTTAAGAGTGCAAATTTCATTTCTCTGGGATGCCAGCTTTATGCACCTATTACTCCAAATGTATCCAAATAAGGCTCCTTCACATGTGTGCAAGGAACACCTAAAATGTGCTAACTGGCAGATAAGCTGCATCCAGAAAAAAAAAACAAAACAAGCATCCCAAGCAATAGGGATTTTCCCGCCATGGATTTAAAAATCTTAGCAGGCTATATAAACAGTTAAATTTACAAAATAGATGTAAACTTTTACAGTTCATCTTTCTATAGTCTGTTCATTTTTTGCTCTAGGATTTCTGCCCATTTTCTGAAAATATAACAGCAATCTGATGCAGTGAGGCAATCTGAAGCCAACTTACCAGAACCAAACAAAACATACCATCAGGCCACAAAGGAACAATCACATTTCCCAAAGAAAACATTTAAAGAACTTGAATAATTGTTCATCTTTAAAACACACACAAAAAATAACTGGCTGATCTCCACACACAAATACATAGACTCACTTCTACACATATATGCACACACACACATGCAGACACACATACCACTGCAGTTAAACCACATTAATAGAAAATCCTGCAGCCCAGGAGGTTTGGGCATCAAGTCACCTGTTGCATTTTCTTGTATTCGCCCACTCTGGCATAGGCCATGAAGAGGTGAGAGTGATATTCCTCACTATTGGGAACTTTCTTCACAGCTGCCTCATAAAGTTTTGTGACTAACTCCGCTAAAACAAAGAGAAATAGAATTTTCTTTAATTACTGAAGTATAACAAATCTTAACAGCATTTAATTTTTTTCCTATTTGGAGGAAATAGATGTCTCCTATCATTAAGGAAGAAGAAAGTATTTGCTTTGCCTCATTATTCTTACCTTGCTTAGGTGTTTTCCGATGAAGCATGGAATAGGTCAGGCCTCCCCATGACGTTTACAATGTACAAGACCCTCCAGGATCTATCTAGCCTTTTGTCTTCTTCCAAACTCTTCCCTCCTGCACTTTATGCTCTAGCTACATCAAACTACTTGTAGTTCCACTAGATTCCCTGTGCTGTATCAGACCTGCATGACTTTAACACTGTTCCCTCTGCCTGGATTCCCTTTTCTTCTCTTTTCTACTGAGTAAACATCATCCAAGACCCAGTTCAAATGTAATCCTTCCCTGAACACGATCTCTGCTCCTCCATCCCAGTTTGATCACTGCTTCCTTCTGCCATCTTTAAATCTTTTAAATAACGCTTTTATACAATTTATTAATATATAATGCAACATACTATCTATTGATCTATGTTTCCTCATAGACTATGAGTAACATGAAAGCAAAGAATACCTTTCATCTTTGACTCTGATACAATATTTGTCATAGAAAAACATTCAACCAATACTTGTAGGATAGATAATTTTTTTTTTGAAATGCTGGGAGAAAATCCATATCCCTAAATCAACATAATCCCTATATAATCAGATATAATACCTCAACTCTTAAGTTTTATCTTTCATAAGAATGAAACACAAAATTGAACTATAAAATAACATTTTCTGCCTGCTAGGTTGGCAAAAATTTTATTTTTTTCAGTTTTACTGAGAAACAATTGACAAAAGCTGTATATTTTTAGGAGTACAACATGATGGCTTGATGGCAAAATTTTTTAAGTCTAAGAATACCAATGACGGGACTTCCCTGGTGGCGCAGTTGTTAAGACTCCAAGCTCCCAATGCAGGGGGTCCGGGTTCAATCCCCAGTCAGGGAACTAGATAGCACATGCATGCTGCAACTAAGAGCTCACATGCCACAACTAAGGATCCCACGTGCCGCAACTAAGGAGCCAGTGAGCTGCAACTATGAAGCCCGCCTGCTGCAACTAAGACCCAGAGCAAATAAATAAATATCAAATTAATTTTTTAAAAAAAGAATACCAATGACAAGCATGTGGAACTCTGATACACTGCTAGTGGGAAGGTAAATTTAGAAGACAAGTTGACACCATGTTTATCTTTAAGCTGAACCTACCCTATGACCTAGCACCTCCACTCTAGATTCTAGTGTAGTCAACCAGTAAAGTATTCTGTGGCAGTAAACATGAATTAACTACAATCACTTGGATATTAGATGAAAAGTGCAAGTCACAGAAAACGTTTAGCATGAATCCATTTATATTAAGTCCAAAATAAGTGAAACTAATAATGTATTACTTAGAAAAACAAATGTGATAAAGATTTAAAGACAAGCAAGAGAATAAAAAATATTCAAGATAGCAAATCCCTCTTAGGAAGTTAAAGGGGAAATGAGATTGATGAAGGACACACAGGAAGTCTTCTTAGTACAGACATACCTCATTTTATTGCACTTCCCTTTACTGTGCTTTGCAGCTATTGTGTGTTTTACAGATTGAAGGTTTGTGGCTACCCAGCATCTAAGCAAGTCATTGGCACCATTTTTCCAACAGCATTTGCTCACTTTGTGTCTCTGTGTTACATTTTGCTAATTCTCATGATATTTCAAACTTTTTCATTATTATTGTATTTGTGATGGTGATCTATGACCAGTGATCTTTGAAGTTACTACTGTAATTGTTTGGGGGCACCACAAATCACAACCATATAAGACCTTGAACTTAATCAACAAATATGTGTGTGTTATGACTGCTCCACTAACTGGCCGTTCCTATCTATCTCCCTCTCCTCAGGCCTGCGTATTTTTTGAGACACAACACTGAAATTAGGCCAATTAATAACCCTACAATGGCCTCAAGTGAAAGGAAGAGTGCCACATGTGTGGCACTTTAAATCAAAAGCTAGAAATGATTAAGCTCAGTGAGGAAGGCATGTCGAAAGCCAAGACAGGCTGAAAGCTAGGCCTCTTGTGCCAGTTATCCAAGTTGTAAATTCAAAGGAAAAGTTCTTGAAGGAAATTAAAAGTACTACTCCAGGGAATTCCCTAGAGGTCCAGTGGTTAGTACTCCGACCTTCCACTGCAGGGAACACAGGTTCAACATCTGTTCAGGGAACTAGATCTCACAAGCCGTGAGGCACGGCCAAAGGGAAAAAAAAAGTACTACTCCAGTGAACACATGAATGATAAAAAAGTGAAACAGAGAAAGTTTTAGTGGTCTGGATAGAAGATCAAACTAGCCACAATATTCCCTTAAGCCAAAGCCTGACCCAGAGCAAGACCCTGACTCTCTTTAATTCTATGAAGGCTGAGAGAACCGGGAAGCCAAAAAATTCATATGACTCACTTTACTGCAATATTTGCTTTAATGTGAAACAAAACCCACGATACCTCCAAGGTATGACTGTACTGATAATGCTCTATTTCTTTAATTGGGTGGTAGGTTTATGAATGTTCATTTAATCCACATCAAATGTTCTAGTGCTACATAAAACATATTCTTCTATAATATGTATTATAAAAGATATGTATTTCATAATAAAATATTTAAGAAATCAACAATGAAAAACTTTATTTATAGATGAAACTAGGCAGACTACCTAGGATATGCTTAGAAATAATCTGGCAGGCAGAGGGGTATACATAAAATTGATCATGTCTCAATAACCGCTGAAGGTGAGAAATGGACACAAAGGGATTTATTATGCTATTCTCTGTTTCTATGTTTGAAGTTTTCCATATTAAAAAGTGGGAAAAAAAAGCAACTCTTTCATTTAGCAAATCAAAATGTCATAAATGAAATTCAAGTCCTCATTCCAATCCAAGGATCCTAATACATGTAAAATATCCACTCTGCCTACAGCTTTTGCAAGCCATGGTTAATGCATTTTTTACCTGTTGTTACCCATCAAATCATGAGTGATAAGTAAATCGGACAAACAGAGAACTCAGAAATACCCAAAAAATTAAGCACAGTTTTAAAAACAATGAAAAGAAAGAAACATACGTCGATGCATCTCCCGGTAAAGAATGGTCAGTGCCTGCAGCGAGTTGTCGTCTGTGGGTTCAAGGGCTGCCACCTCCTGCGCCAAGGTGAAGGCTTCCTCTTGCTTTCCAGTTCTCTGTAAACCAATTGCTTTTAAAACCTGATAGAAAGAAAAGACAAATCAGTTTTAAAAGGACAGAAAAGGAAATATGAACCAAAGAAAGACAATTTGAAATCACAAAATAAGTTATAAGGTATGCCTAGGTTGTGAATCAACTATTTTACTAAAATTATCAGCAAATAAAGATTATTGCCAGGGCTTCCCTGGTGGCTCAGTGGTTAAGAGTCCGCCTGCCAATGCAGGAGACACAGGTTTGAGCGCTGGTCCGGGAGGATGCCACATGCCACGGAACAACTAAGCTCATGCACCACAACTACTAAGCCTGCGCTCTAGAGCCCGCGAGCCTAACTACTGAAGCCAGCGCCTAGAGCCCGTGCTCCGCAACAAGAGACACCACCACAATGAGAAACTTGAGCACCACAACAAAGAGTGGCCCCCACTCGCCACAACTAAAGAAACCCCATGCAGCAACGAGGACCCAACACAACCAAAAATAAATAAATAAATAAAAATAAAGATCCCTTAAAAAAAAAAAGATTATTTCCTATTTCAGTCATATTAAGAATGCACAAAACAAAAAGAATGCACAACATTGCTTAAAAGGACTTTGGGGGGCGGGGGGGAAGGACTTTGTGAAAATAAAATAATTAAATTAGATAAGTCATGTCCAAAAAAACAAGCAGCTAGCTTTTAATTAAATACTCTTTATGGCATTTCATTTAAGTGATCAGGCAAATAAATGGCCTAAAAAATACTCTGAAAAACACAGATAGTCACTAAAGAGATTAAACACCTCTTCCCTTTAAAGATTATAGTATATAACCCACCAAATATAAGTAACTCAAGGGCAAATGAACTTACCTTAGCACAATGAAGATCCTTATGCTTTTTCAACAATTTATCTGCTTGCTGAATTGCCATTTTATTATTACCATTATCAAGATAATCTATGAAAACAGAAATTATGAGTTATTATACTCCTTCAAAAACAAATATGAAAAATGCATAGGCTAGTATCAGCTGTTTCAGAAAGTATCCTAATTCGGTATTAAAAACATCTTGGAGCTGATTTTAACTCTAAATGGCTAGGATGGTCCAGAACACAATCTTAAATTTCTATAGTCATCTCTCATCCAAAAGCAATATAATGCAGTTATACTGATCCTTAAGGAAGATTCAAGACCAAATATATTTAGATGACAGATGACACTAATATTTCTACCTATGGGAAACAAATGGGTTTACTCACACAAAAGTTAAAGTATCTAAAAAAAAAAAAAAACCTTTATTACATTCAAGCTTCAAATCTACCAAATGGACCATGTTCCCTCAATAAAATGTTCAGTGAATCTTACTATGTCACAGAGTTAAGAATAATTCTTCGAAGAAAAAAAAGAACAGTGAGTGGGGGAGTAAATCCAGCAATATCAGGAGTAGACAAGGATG